TTCTTTTTTTCTTCGTGTGTGCCCGTCCCTTATTAAAAGGCCCCAAGGGGGTAAAAAAAAAAAAAAAAAAAAAAGATGACATAGAGTGTCGAAATGCTACGGAGTGAAGGAGCGAAGTGTCAGTGGCTAAGACGGAAAAAATAAAGTCGTCGGGGAAGTAGGGCTAGCTTGCTGCTCGGATTGGATTTCAGCAAACGGCCTGCAAGATAAACAAAGTCTGTTTTTAACTTTACAGGAGCGTTCAGCAGAAGAGTCACGTGGAAAAATACACGGATGGGGAGTGGCCAGCGGAGGGGGTGGGTGCTGGTCCGGCCCGACCAATCACAGAGCAGAACCGTAATGCAAAAGCAAAACAGGAGTTAATGTGGTCTTGAATAATTACTGAGGCCATGTTTGTCCAATTAATTAGTTTATTTTAGTGATAAAATGTAAAGCTTCTTAGCTACAGCTTTTAGTTGCTGCTACATAATTCTTTTTTTTTAATTATTATTGCAAGCTAAATCTAGCTTAATACAGATATAGATAGAATGATGCTTAGAACCAGAGTTGGGTAGCATCTAGTTACATTTAGGCTACTGTTTACTTTTCCTAGCGCTGTCAGTCATGCTTAAGTACATGCTGCCAAATGTGCTAATGGCAGAGAAACAACTTACCATTCCAGGAAAACTGTTTATATGCCTTCAGTGGTGGCATGAGTGCTCATGCTAATAAGGCTGAGTATTCATGGCAAGCTATGCTGAAACTGCAGTGTAGCAAAGAACAAGAGGAGAGTGTGAGCAGGATGTGCACTGGGGTGATTGACAGTGCTAAGTCCCTATTATTTGTCATAGGGATACTGTGAGCAACTTCTACGCCATAAGTTGATTTAAGTTCTTACTCTTTTTTTTTTTTTTGTTTTTAGATAAATGTGCAGCCAACCTAACAGTGGAGCAGTTCTTACCTGGATGTAACATATCAGTTGCTGCATTATAAGCACGTTTTCAATTTATGAAAACACAATAAGATCATCCACAATTATTTATAAAGTGATTAAAAGTTTTTTGGAACACACTTTTAGGATCCTGGCTGCCATGTAAAGATATGTGGGAAGAGTTTGAGGAGTCGTAGCGAATGGCAGGTCGGAGGTCGGGATGGTCGACACAATCAGCTGTAAGCCAAATTACAACACTGATGGTAAACTAGAAATGTGTGAAGAGCTTTCTGGGTAAGTGGTATAGGAATCTGTACTCAGAGTGACAAATTCCTATGAGTGGGATTTTTTAGCACATTGTGCTATGCATCAGAATTTACACTACAAGGAACAACTAAAGCAATGTAACACAATAAAGAAAATCTAGACATGTGAATTGATTGTAGCATATTAATTCATTTATTTATTTTTATCAAAAACAATTTTTGTTGATCACATGTATTTGATGGGAGTAAAACCGGACACCGAAAAGCATATCAGACAAAAATCAATAAAAAAAACATGACCTCCATTCATAATAGCTACAATTTCTAATAGGATATAAAAAAAAAACAACTTGGTATACATGAAACTGAGTATTTTTACTCAAAGGACATTATGACGGCTACCATAAATACTTACAATAAGCAACAATTTTAACAACACAGCCTCACAAAAACTCTCGCACACATGCGTACGACACGCTGAGGAGCTGCAGGTAAAATTGCACAAAGATACCCTCAAAGTACATCACATGTAGTAATAATATTAATCTGAAGTACTACACAAACAGCCACATTTAGATACTGTTAGACTTCCTGCTGGTTCACTTCTGCACGAGTTAAAGGAAAACAGTCTGATGTTTAGGTGTAATCCAGCTGCAACAACGTGAGTTCAGAGGAAGAAGAAAACGGCTTCAGATGAAGGAGCAAACAGTCTTCTGCAGACAAAACTCAAGCAAGGTAACAGTCTAGCATCAGGCCTTGGCTGACAGTCTGGGCTTTTGTAGCTGCTGGAAAGGCAGAAAGGATGTGAACTTCAGGGAGTTTGGCTTTGACTTAGGGAGTCCAGTTTGTGCCTTTTCTTTACAAATTATTAGTATTTTACAGAACTCTATAAGGCCTCTTCTGATTTCTTCTGATTTTATTGTCCAGGTAAATTAAAAAAATATTTTTCTTCGTTAAAACTGCAAAAATATTGAAAAAAAAAAAAAAAAAAAAAACTAAATCTGTAAATTAATTGTTTTTGTTTTGCTTTATATTGTAGGAAATGAAAACACACAAACAAATTACCAAATTTAGGACTGTCAAACAGCTTTCAAACAAAATAAAGAGAAGGCCTTTAGGAAAAAAGAAACACCCATAACAGATGTTTTCTGACAAAAAAAGGATAATAAAAGAAAATGCACAATCATACTTTGCATTTTTTGTTCATTCATGTAATCTTTTAGTTACTGAAAAGCAAACATGCAAGTTTAAAGCAGCCTCCAATATTGTGGGTGTCACTAGTAAATATGTGTAAAAAGCCTTAAAAAGAAGTGATATTTTATTACAGGAGTAGTAATTAAACACTAAGAAATCAGTAATATTACAACCTTTACAGTACAGTATTACTGCATTACTTACAGTAATATTACACACAAACATATTTATGTGTGTGCGCGTGTGATTAATCAAGATTTACAAGATTAATCACAGAAAAACAAGTCATGAGGAATAAATGTGCATCAAGCATTTTTGAAAATAAGCTATTCTTCACTTTTTGATCAGCATTAAAGACATTTTATTCAGAAATTCACTACTTCAAATTTCCCCAGGATATAAATATCCCATAATGCCAAGAATCATTTTTCTGGAAAAGACAAGAGAAACTATTTTTGTTTAAATGCCCCACCACAAAGTCTCTATGTAACCATTAGAACTATTGACATCCCAAATGTTTGTTTTTTTTGAAGAAGAAGAAGAATTTGAGAACAAATAGTTTCTGTCCTGCCACCATATGTGTACTATGCCGACATTTTAAATGGAACCTTGTGCTTTGACATGAAGACATGAAAAATGGTGGATATGTGAAAAAGGTCCTTATGTCCACTCTTGACGGCAGAGAAAGTGTGATGCAGTCGGGTGTTTCTCTTCCAAAGGCTTTTTACACATCTTTAATAAGATGACCATTGTTTTGAAGGCCATACATAATATTGCTGATAAATAGGTTTTATTTATAAATAGCTTTTATTTTATCTCAAACTTAATGCTGTTTAGACCTGTAAATAAAAATATAAGGTAATCAAAGGTAAGACCTCATAATCTCACTTTGCATTTGGGAGGAACCTCAAGCCAAAGAACAGAAAGTCTCCAACCAGCATGGCTCACACATCTCTCTTTTTTTTTTTTTTTTAAGAGGTAAATGTTTATAACAGTTTATGTCCTATCAATCAGCATGGAATAGAAAAAGGAAAAAGTGCAAGTACTATTGCTAAATACAGTTCATCTTTTTAAGTCTCACAAAATAAAGAAATTTTCAGCACTTTAAAAAACATCTGTCAAAGTAGAGCTAATCACAATCTAATGAAAGCATGTAGAAATTGCAGAATGGCTCATTGAGTATCTGTATTCATCTATAGGCACAAAATACTTTGATCAGCTAAGATCAAATCACTTCTACAAGTCCAGAGGACGAACAGTCACAAACCACACATTGTACACAGTTTGAAAAAAAAATCCCTTTTCAGCTCATGAAGCTTTACATGAAAAAAGATCAAATTTTAACCGACAGTCAAGTCAGCTTTTCAATGTAGACACAGTCAAGAGGCCTTTCGTCAGTGAACTACAAAGTCAATTACTCCATTAAAGCAGAACAAATACACAGAAAGATTGAATTGAAACAACTTCTTGTCTCAAACTCGAACAATCCGTACTGACGATAAATCAGGGGTAGACTATTTGTATGTTTCAAGAAACTGTTTGAAAAGCACAGACATGAAGAAAGTCTTGAATGTCAAAACAAAACGAGTATTTTAAATCAAAATTGAAGTTTCCTCCTGCTTAAATGTAGCTTCTTTTAATATTGTGAGTTTTAACTTTTTACGTGTAGTTTTCTTTTTCCTCACTTTCAAAATGTAGGTTTTCAATTTTATTTTTTCAAAGTTTTTCAAAGTTCAAGATCAAACTTGAAATTCTGTTTCAAATTTTATGACCAATCCGTAGCCACATACTGGTCTACCTAGCAACAGTGAGGCAGATGAGGAAACGCTTTACTTTACAGGTAGAAATCATGTGCTGTGTTCAGCTCATTATCTTTAGAAACATCAACCAAATGAGGCAAAGGTCAGGAAATAGAAAAAAAAAATCATTTCATTTCAGTTCAGTTCTAATATTCAACATTACAAAATAGACAAAGAACCAGTCCCAGTTGTCTGTCGCGACGCAGCCCTCCGTGCAGCTTGCTTGTCAGAATGCATAACCTTTCTACATTCATCATCAGTTGACAAAAGTTGATTTTAAAATGTTAGCGTTATAAAAACTCAACAGTCGGTTTCATGGAGGAGACAGGCTCAGGTCGCCTTTCAAAAAGAGCAACGGTTCACTGGAAACACGCCAAGACACTTTCAGTCCAAAGTTAAACACTTGGTAATTACAGTATGCACACCTAACAGTCTGGAACGACAAAGTGGAACCACAATAATACCACTGTAAAGATGTGAAAGCTTTAAAACACAGCTGCTTTCTGGCTTCTTGTACAAGCAAACGGGATGCATGCTGGTGAAACCTTTTATTTTTAGCACGTCTGTGTTCAGTATTTGCCAATCCAACTTTGTAGAAAGAAAGTTAAGAACACGTAGCACTCACTATCCAGGTTTATTTTGAAGCAGCGGGCCTCGATGATTCACGCCTAGAGTCAACCTTAATATTTTTCTTAGTGTTTTAACAGGCTTAACGATGTGCTTTGTACTTTAATACATGAAATGAACAGTGGTATGTGTGTAAGGCAGTGGATCCTAGTATTTTTGCTGTATTAAATCTAAAACAGTCGAAAGTTGTTCAATGACCAAAAACAACTGAATTTCAAATGTCTGACTTCGCGCACAGCTGCTCACAATGTAAAAATAAAAACATTAAAGATACAGCTTTTTCTAGCACATACCCAATTAAAGTTTTCCGATTTCAATTTTTGACTGATTCTACGTCATCGTAGATCTACATTTCGGAATCGGCCACGGCCGATTAAACATAGAATAAAACAATCTTCATGTTCTTCATAGAGGTAGAAGCTTAAAAATACAAGAAAAACAATGAAAGAATTACAATATAATACCCTAATCTGTGGCTGTATCTGTATGCAAGAGAATTCAAAAAGCAGCTTACAGGCCAAAAAGGTTGGGAGTTGTTAGAACAGGAAAAATATATATTTTTTTCTTTATTTGATTTCACTAATCAAAGTAGATCAAGGGAAGACTGTCAAACTGATTGGTGGATCTCTAGACAAAAGTCCAAATCTCTAGTCAAATCCTTCTTAAAAAAACTTAACTACTATAGACTTAATCTATTTTTTTTTAAATCACTATTCACATCTTAAACTCCCCGTTTCTCCTAAAGAGCCTCTAAAGCCAACCAGAACCGGACACGTGGGGTTTCCATGTCAAAGTGTCCCTGCAAGGGCAACACTGTATCATAGATTGAAAGACAAAGGAAAGAGAGACGGAGTACCTCTGTTGTGGGTTTTGCATGCAGTGCATGCCAGGTAACAGCAAAACCATTGCTGCTGCTAAGTGGTTTCAGCTACGATAACTGAATCACTTTTATTTATTTATTTATTTTTGTCGTAAACCCAGGCATTTCTCTCATCCAATATAAATATTCGGTTTCAAGTTTTTCTGGGAGTGCCTTGTTTGCAAAGTGATCAGAGATCCCAGTCACACCTACGCTCCTCTCAGCTATTACAGTAAGATCTGCAAGACAGTTCTTCACCTGCCCAACTCTTCACCTGCTCGTCCTGATCTACAGAAATGCTGTAAAGCATCAACATCCAACTCCTGCCTACCGAGCCACCTCGTGCGAGCTGTCGGGTTAGGAGGACTCCATGGTGATGACGGCCTCGTCGGCCTTGTAGACGACAGCGGAAGAGGAGGGAACCTCCTCGCACGGATCCAACACGGACAATTTCACGCCGAGCTTTGATCCGGGGGAATCTCCGCCGACTTCCTGCACCGCTCCTTCCTCCTTCCCCTCATCCAAGCGCCCTTTCTGCAGCTCGTCTTCCCCTCTCCTCACGTGACAGCGACACACCTCGATGCCAGAGTCGCCCGTGAGCCGTCTGTGACTGAAGTGATCCTCCTCGTCTTCTTCGTCCTCCTCCTCTTCGTCTCCGTCTTGTTTTGGCTCCTCTTTATTACTTGTGTTCGGCGAGTGCAGATCCTTTATGGAAGGAGAGGGCGTTGCATCATAAGGTGAGGGTGAGGCCTCCTCCACAGCCCCCGGTGGGTCGGAGGGCACGACAAAATGAACTTGGCCGGGAGGAGCAGAAGACAACAGGACGAGGGGGGAGAGAGGGAGGCGAGCGGGATGTGAGAGTTGTGAGTGTAAAGGGAGGGAAAGCGGAGGACAAGGAGGCGAGAGTCTGTCGCTGCCAGCAGAGGAGCGTCGCTGCACGGGTATGACGTCAGGAGTGGCGGCGGGTATCACGTCCGGGGGAACTTGAGACGGGGAAGGCGATGACCTCAGCACGACAGCGTAGTCGCCCCCAGCTTCGCTGGGTGTGGACACATGGCTGCTGTCATACGTCTCGTCGGTCACCTGGACCGAGAAGGAGGTGCTGGACGGGGAGGTGAGGGAGCAGGACTCGCAGGAGCAGCTGGTGTAGTTGTCGGAGCTCTGGGAGGAGGTCAGCCCACTGGTGCCGGGGCCCAGGTACGGAGGACAGGGGTGCCGGTGGTGGTGGTGATGGGGATAAGAAGAGCTGGGCCCCGCTGTGGTCCCTCCCTGGAGGGCGAAGATGGAGCTGTAAGGAGGAGGAGGCGTGCTGGGCTGGGCAGCCACCTCCTCATAGGAGGGCAGCTTCAGGGAAGTCAGGAAACCTGCAGCAAAATTTCAAAGTCATTTTTGTGTCCTGTAAAAGGCTTTATTTTGCTATAAGCTTCGAAGAATTACATCCAGCAGCCACTCAGTTGCTGTCATAATTACAACTGACTAAAGCGTTACTTAAATGTTTAAGCACTTTGTAATGTTGAAACACAAACTTCAGTATATTTCATAATAATTTTCTAAAAGTAGGGCTGGGTCATATGGACCTTGCTGAATGTGATATTTTATAGTATTTACTATGATAATAATAAAAGGGAAAATAAACTATTTACAACTTTAAAAAAAAACTTCTGAATTTTAACTGGGCTTCTTCAGGAAACCAAGTACATAAATACATTTGATTTGATCACTAAACTGTACACAGCAACAACATTTGATCACATTTTTGAATTTATTGGTATACACTGATGCTCTGAGGGAAGCAAAAATTGGATAAAACAGTAACTATAACAATTCCACCAATCAAGTTAGCTTTGGAGTTTCAAACATCATTAATTGGAGTTCAACACGGTCATAAGCATGAATCTAAATTGGTGTGCATTTGCATTCAGCACCCCCCGAGTTCAATACTTTTTCTATTCACGTTCTTTCAATTACAGCTGCAAAACCTTTGGGGTTTGTTTCTACAAGAGTTGAATTTCTAGAGACTAAGCTTTCTGCTCATAGTTCTTCACAACGACTCTAACTCAGTTTCTAACTCACGATTTTGAGCCATTCTAACATGTGAAAACAATTTAATTTAAACCACCAATCCTCTGGCTGTTTGGCTCTGCTCTCTTCCTATTTTCACTTGAATAAAAAAGAAATCACAATGATGCACTACTTTGTGTTGGTGTATAATACCTTCAAATTTGTGATAAAATACATAATTTATCACATACTCTGTAAGAAAAGGGAACTTTGTTCTCTTCCCCAGAGCTGTGCAAACAAAAAGGCATCATTCTTTCCTTGCAGTCCTGTTTGGGAGTTCTTGCTGCTGGTTCTTATTTGGTGAACCAATGAGAACTTCTCAATAGTTCCCATCTGAAGTATAGAATGTTGTGGCCAAATGGAACATTTTATTGTTGTTGTCACTGTGAACATTTTTTTTTCTTTTCTTTTAACTAATCAATCTAATCTGGAGCTTCTCAAGTCAAAGAAATGGCCGATTTAGTCAAATGAATCACATTTAAAGCCGCTCAGAATGACTTCAGAATAAATTCAACATACTGAGGTCCAACATCGAAGATGGGTAGTTACAGGCTCCGTTATAAGCGATTAGGTTGATTTCCCTTTGCCTTTGCTGCTGCTGGATTCTCAGCTTGGCTCGGCGGTGCCGGTAAGCACAGAAACAGCTGAAGAGGATCAGGACCGTCCACAGCAGCCAAAACCCTGTGGGAAGCAAGACAGCTCTGTAAATAAACAACGACATCCAGCATGTTCGTCAATCAGTCACCGGAGGCCAAAAGGCAGGATCAATGTGTTTTGGCATCACGTGTCCCAGTGATCATAAGTGGTTAGTAGTACGAAACATAAACAAGACCCCTGAGGTTCAACATTACTCTGAAAAAGTTATTTTCTCATAAACCCAATAATTTGTGTGCTCTGTGAGGTCTGATGATGCGTCATCAATTTTGGTGAAATGTTAAAGGATTAAGTTCTTCTTCCAGGACTGAAACTTTAAAGGCTACTCAAGAAAATCTTCACTGAGGCATTTAGAGGTGAAATTGCTGGTGTACTTAGATCATTGTCCTGTGTATTAATGGCCAGAGTTTAGCTGTCAAGGTAAAGTGGATTTAAGCAGAAATACCCCAGTAGCCAAAAACCATCACACTACCAAGACCTTGTCTGATAGATGATGCTGAATGCTGTGTAAGTTTTAAACTGAATGTAATAAGACCCACACGTTTTACTTTTGTCTCATCAGACTGCAGAGTATTTCTGTAACTCTTGAGTATTATTTTAGAAAAGGCTTTGTTACCATGTCAGTGATTTGTATTTATTTTTTTAAATCAGAAGATGTGTTGCTTTTTGAGGTTTTTGAGTCTACTTCATGTTGTCGGATTGGTTCGTTCTAACTGAGTTATTGATTCTATGTGCCTGGCAGTAACCAGACCTGGGTGTTGCTTGTGAAATTGAACCAAAAGCTGTGATTAATCCCAGTTAATTTGTGAATTACAAGAGAACAGCTATATCTTCACACAGTGGTAGGCTGATTTTGATATTTTTTTTCCTCTGTCTATCACATTGGAAACTGCTCTTTGTATTTTTTTATTTTTTTGGTTATTTTTGTCTGATGCAAAAAAAAAAGTCTTATGATCATAAATTGTGACAAAAAAAGCAAAAACGAAAAATATCTGTAAGGGTCAAATAGTTTTTTTTTTTTTTTTTTTTTTTTTTTTTAATTGTACTGTAAATATCTGACCTGAAATACTGAATACATGATCCCTACTCTTTGTGATGTTTCTAAAATTGTCTAAATTTCCTCAAGTCTGCTTTAAAAATGTAGTGTTCAGGTAAAAATAATATATATAATGTGTCAAATAAAGGTTGCAAAAAGTTACAAAAGTGTCCCTGATAATACCTTTTCATCACCTGTACTCATTTAATCGGAACATTTCATCTTAATTTAAAAGTTGTCAACTGACTTACACCAGAGTTCATAGTAATAGGTACAGCAGCCCGTTTCTCCACAGCAGTGTCCTGTTTCACACCGGTAACCTGGACTGTTGTTGGCTCCTGGACAGTACTTGGGACTGACCACAGGCTGCCTGCCAGAGCCAACGTGATGCTCCACCACCTGGTGGACAAAGCAAGACACTGCAATGTAACCACAGTCAGCTTCTGTCAACAGATGTACGGACATACTAATAAATTCATACTACTACATACTGTCTTTGGGGTTTTATGATGAACACATACCATTCCATAACAGGGAAGTGAAAGTAAAAAATTTTGCAAATAAATTTAAAGTGTGGTGTCCATTTGCATTTTGGATCCTCTTCTCTGATACATGCAAATAAAATCCATAGAGTTTTGTTGGGGAACATAATTGAACAAACAGAATCAAGAACACAGGAACACAGCAGACATATCAGGAAGAAAATTGTGGAGGATTAAAGCAGGATTAGGTTATAATCCAGTATCCAAAACTTTGAAAATCTGAAAAAAATATTTGTCCAATAAATCATCTGAAAATGAAAACAGAATGGGACAACTGTAAACCCGTAAAGACCTAAGCCTTTCACCTACACTGACACTTAGGGCGAAGAGAGCATTAAATCAGAGAAGCAGCCAAGAGGCCTGAGATCCACAGCTCTGGTGAAAGAATCTGTTGACAGGCAACTAGGAGTAGCTCAGTCCATAAATTAGGCCTTTATTGAATAGTGAAAAGAAGAAAACAATTGAGGGGTGAGGGGGAAACCCATAACTTTTTGGCATACAAAATGATGCTGTGTGTGGTGGGAAACATTGGACATCATCCTAAACACAACACCCACGTTGATACCAGAATCATGCATGGGGGATACTTTGCTTCCATACGGACAGAGAAACTGCCCAGAGTTGATGGAAAGACTGGTGGAGCTAAATACTGAAAATTTGTTAAAGGCTAGAAAGGGCTTGAAACTGGGATAGAGGCCCACATTTAACAGGACAACAAACCCTAAACATACAACCTCAACAAGACCACTGCAGTATGTTTCTTACTGCAATGATCTTGGTTAAAATATATCAATCTATGAGAATGTCCCAGTCAAAGTCCAGACCTAAATCCAACTTAGAATCTGTGGCAAGACACAGCAGTGGAACGTTCTCAGACACTCTCCGTCCAACCTGAATGAATTTGAACTGGTTTGCAAAGAAGAATGTACACCATGCTTCAAAAGCTAACAGAGACCTGGTCAAACAGACAAGCAGCTGTAAATGCAGCGAAACGTGGCTCTACCGAGTATTGAGTTGGAAAGGTTTAATACAAAAGCATGCTATAATTTCTGATTTTTATCTACGAAAAAAAAATGTTAAACCATATACTATCCTTTTTCTTTCACATAATTAGCATTACTTTGTTATGGACAGTCACATTACATCCTAACATATACATTGAAGCTTGTCAGCTCAAGTGAGAAAGTCTGATAAAGCTCAATATTATTGTGCGGCACTAAGCATTTTAGCAGATTCATGATCGTTTTCATCATTTGCAGGTTAAATCTAAAAGACAAACATCACCTTGTCAGCTGTGTTTCTGTCAATCTCCAGCACAGGCACCTACATAGTATGAGAAATACAAGGAAAGTTGTATTTGAATCGGCCAACATTGGGCTGCAACTAAACGCAGGCAAATATTAAACACATTGTAAAAATGTGGGAACAACATTGGAACAAGCAAAGGCATCTAAATCTGGTCTGCACATAGTTACCACACAAGACTCAGAAGTGCTAACGAGCAACAATGCATTGCCATAGCAACAACTAAGAAGCAGGCTGTGAGTTTTTTTTTTCCCTTTCTTTTTTGTTTTTATTATTAACCACATGTGGAAAAGTGTTTTTTCATCGTTTAAAAGCTGACCTCCTTACCGTTACAGCTTCAGGTGCAACCAGCTCCTGCAGGGACATTGTCATCTGATAAAAAAAAAAAAAAAAAGACACAATCATCAGGACAGAGAGAGGACAGGACGGACGTGATAAGACGCCGATGGCAAGACTAAGCAAACAATATGTTATTAGTCCAAAAGTGGCAAACACTTTTCCAGTCAGAGACTGTCAGCTGCTTGTCTGCTGGCTCATCAAGGTGACAAAGAGGCTCTTAAACGCACTGATTTCTCTCTGTGGTCTGACGTAGGCGACAGAAATCACCCACTTCTGGGTATTTTTACAAAATTTCTTCCTGCGGCCTCCCATGGTCTTCTTACTAGTCTTGCTTAAACACATGAAATATGTAAAGTGGTAAAGAAAACACATTAGCGACAACTAAGTAGCATCAATGTTCTGATATAAAAAAAATCCTATGAACGCTTAAGTTTTACTGGTCAACTGTTCGAGAGACAAATATGTTCCTAAAGACGAGGGAACCAGATTCAAATGGGCAAAGGTTCATATAATTAAAGACAACATTTATTCGGAGAGCATAATCACAAATGTTAATCACTTATCCATCCATTCAAGATCTCCATGTTATCCAATAAAAAAAGAGATCCAGATGGGAAATCCAGACATCGTGTTTCCAGTGACACATTCAGAGGGATGACCAAGTTTCAGAGGGATGACCAAGTTTCCACTGACCCGAAGGAATACACGCCTGAAAACCAGATGTTTGCATACAGTGCAAAGAAACATGGCCTGTTTTTCTTACTGTTAGATAATAAAACTGATTAAACATTCATTGTTTTAGGACAGGTTGGGATTACTAAAATTATCTAATTGAATTGACTTAAAATATGATTGCCGTGCTTTTCAGAGCATTTGGAAAGCCCAGAGGATTTCACCATGGCTTTTTAAGTTTTGTAAATTAAGGTAACAAAAAACAGCAAGAAAGATATCAGGAAGAAAACTGAGGGCCTCTAATTCATGCTTAAGTAGAATTTCCAGATTTCTGACGGTGTCAAGTTTACCAGTTCAGACAACAAGGTATGTTGCATGGGAATGTCCAGCTGTACTATTCAGTAAGGAAGGAAATTCTGTGTCCCAGAGATGAATGTCCTTTTTATGTGAAAGGGTTATATCAATTCTAGACCACCCAGAAAAGACCTTGTTTGAAACTGGTAGATGGTCCCATTGTATGCCTTGAAATTAGTTCTCTGCCATCATGGGCTGAAAGGCCACTAAGCAAGGACAAAGATTACTCCAAAAAGATTAGAAAATGACAGTTTACAAATGCACTCAGGGTCAAAGACCTTAGTTTTTGGAGACATGTGCTGTGTTCTGATGAAGCTAAAATTAAAGACTTTGCCATAATGGTACTATCAAAAATTTTACGTTCTGACACAAAATAATGTCTGACCATCAGTTCTTGACCTTGAGGCTTATACGCATCGGTAAGTCCAAATTGCAAAGACAAAAAAAAAGGAGCAGGTTTTGAACTGGCCTAGCCAAAGTCTGAATTTAAATCAAGTGTTGATGGCATGATCTGCAGACCATTTATGATCAACATGGAAGAATTAATACAGTTCTAGGTCTCCTGCACTGAGGTAAGAAATGTATTACCAGTTACTGTAAACACTCGAACCAGAATTTATTTTGGTCATTTTTGTCTGATAAAAACAATGTGTTTGATGATCTGAAACTTTAAAGTGTGAAAAAAAAGCAAAACTAAATAAAATAAATTCATAAGGAATTTATTTGAGGCAAACATGTGCACAAATATGCACAGAACTGCATTTCTCCTAGAGCCTCTTTATGTTTTCTTAGCCATCCTTGATCACATCATTAAAAAAAAGAAATCACATGGCTGACATCTGAAGCTTCAGCATCATGGATATGACCTCCACCTCAGTGAAGGTCATATGGGTTGACAGCAGGCAAAAGGGGGGAAATGTCCATGTGTGCTGCATAAGGGACTGCAGTCAAAACAATGAAACAGAGCTGGGCTTGTTGCACACCAAGACAGCAGCCATGTAAATTAGACATGCTTGCTTAACAACCGACTCCTGCCTGTGGTCAGCACAACTGAACAATGTTGGCCCAGCATTGTGTGCTCCATATCCAGACAAACACACAGCCATACACGTAAACATCACAAGTTGTGCATATGCAGCACTAAATTTATGGCAAAAAAAAAGCATTACTTTGACATTTGTTTACTAACCAATATAAGGCCGCAAATTGTGCTATAAACAACTAATACCCATAGGCTGCTCAATATTTCATAATGCAGTAAAACACAGGTGGGAAAAACAACATAAAAATATCACTGGTGCTTCTAATATTTGACGAGTAAATGATGGCTTGTCAAATATTATTTTTTTTTATTGTCTTCCCTGGAGAAAATGTAAATATTTAAAAAAAAAATAAAATAGACAATATCATACTGCAGTGTCAGAGACATGTTCTGCTGCATAGTGTGAAAAAGAAATGCCAAGCCAGGATGGAAAACGCACTGTCAAAACTCCTTTCATGCAGAGTTCCTGTGGTAAGGCCACCACATGGCTTCAAAATAAGAATGTGTGTGAAATGTAGTCACTCTGAGACCACCAAGAAACCTCGAACGATCCACATCACAGTTCCCCTCAAAGTCCGCAATGAAATAAAAACCAGAGTGAAGCACCGATATTATACAAGATGCTAACTAGTCAATAATATTTCTGCCGCTTTTACGCTAAGTGCTTCAGTTTCAGAAAAATAAATAAATCTAAGACATTTTAAAAATCTTGCAATAAAAGTAACAATGCACTGACAGGCCTAACAGGTTGTCCCCATTCAAACAAAAAAACTCTACTGAGACATCCTCCCTCTTCCCCCCCCAACCCCCCCC